TTTATAGGTAAGGAAAGTGAAGCCTAGAGATGAACATTAATTTGCTCAACGTGACGAAATAGTAAATATCAGAACTAAGATCTGAACCCATTTCTGATGATACAGCTGTCAAAGTTACTTAGTTTTTGGAGGCCTCAGTTTCCTTATTTGTAAAATGGGGGACTTGAACTTATCTTCCCATTCTAAAATCCAACAAAGGAATGCTCACACTTGACCTAAGCATCTTTGGGAGAATAAGACATACCCCCAGAGGGGCTAGGACTGAATTGGTGGCATTTAACATGGGATTCTTTATTCTGTAGAGCAAGCAGGTCTAGCAACCCAACTGGTACTATAGTTTTCTTTGGTACAGTTCCTGGTGAAATTCTTACGAAAATAAACATCTTTCCAAATATCCTACATTAGAGGAGTTGTTTGGTTGGATTATATTTCTATGAAAGAAGAAAATGGAAATAGTTGGCAGTAATGTCTCTCTATGACTAACTTACTCTCTACTGTTTCTAATTTTTCCACAGAGACCCAAACTACATCATCATCGTCATCATCATCATCATATTTATATAGCTCTTTAAAGTTCGAATGCTTTATTTTGCTCATATTATCTCATTATTGCATTATATCATATCTCACATGAGCAATTAAAGCTCAATAAATTGAATATCTTGTCTTCAGCCCTTAGAGGGTCTAGTTGAAAGTGTATATTGCATTTAAATATAGTGAACTTTGAGATGTTTTTAGTTTGTTTTGTCTAGACTTTTGATTTTATCACTATGGGGAACTTCCAATATGGATACTCCTTTTACCAATGCAGATCAACAATTCATCTTTAACCTCAAGGTTTAAAGGGTTTCTTGAGATCCTGAAAGATTAAATGACATGTGTGCAGTCACAAGTTATTCTATGTCAGATTTAGGACTTGAAATCTTATCTTTTTAACTCCAAAGCTTAGGCCTGTATCCACTAAACTTACCCATTTAGAAGTCTTACCCCTCCATAAATAATAACTCTTGAGTTCCATTTTAGAGCCCAGGCTACTACATTTTGTTAATTCATTTACTTTAAATGAATTAACAATCAGTCATTCAAAAAGTATTGATTTTCTAATGTGTACAAAGTAGAAAGAAATGAGATGAAGTGGGATAATGTGTATAAAGCTTTTACTAATCAGAAAGAGCTGTTTATATGTAAACTGGCACACATGTTCTTATGAAAGCACCATAGAGATACAAAAAAATCCCTAAGTCAAGAGAACAAAAAAAAGTTCACTGTGTATATGTGACATTTATAGAATTAGTAGAACTTTGAAGGAGGTAGGAGGCCCCCATTATAGCTACTATATCCTGACTTCCAAGGGTGGCAAGAGATCCTTCAGCTTTAGGTGCCTAAACCTTTCAACAACTCCTTGGACCATAATTGGGACTACACTAGCTCTCTCATTCATTCATTAATTTATACATTTATTTATTCATCAGATATTATTATGTACCTACTATGTTCAGAAGACACTGCTTGAATTGCGTTGGGGAAGCAGATGAACTTTAAAGACAGAACAAAATGTAATATACAGTGTTTATAAGTGTATAAGATTAGAGAACTAACCTTCTTTACACTCTGATGCCATTAGGTGTTATAGATTCCAACAGATAATGCCTATGAGCCCTTAAATTATAGGATGAGAGCCAGCATATGGGGTATGCTTCAGGCCCTACCCTGATCATATCCCTTGTCAAGGCTACCATAATCATTCATTCATGTAAGAAACATGTATTGATCTCAAAATAGTGTTATTATTATGTTATTATTAAATATTAACACTGAGCTAAGTGCTTGAGGAGGTATAAAGATAAGACAAAGAACCTGCCATTAAGTTGCTTGCAAAATACCATAGCATGGTGACATAACATTTACAGAGATAAATAAAACAATAAGGGATAGGCCATTATAAATGAAATAAGTGGAATATAAGAGATCAAATGGTCAGATGAGAATGTATTTCCATCTTTGGGGGACTAAGAACTATTTATTGAGCATACACTGTGAGTAAGTTTCAACAAGAAATATAGGACTGGTTGAGAGTTGTTGGGAAAGAGGGTATCCTCAAATATGAATATCTCAAGGCATCATCAATTGCCTATTGGACATTTTAAATTGATGAGCTAGAGGCATTTTATACTTACTATATTCAAAACAGAACTCATTCCCCACCCCTCTAAAAAAAACCTACCCATCTTCTAAGACTCCCTATTGCTGTTGAACCCACCACCATTCTCCCAATCTCCCAGGGACAAAACTCAGGCATTAATTATCCTTGACGCCTCATTCTCTGTCACTGCACACGTGTGCTCCGTTGATAAATTTTGCCCCTTTTACATTTAGAATATTTCTCACATTTGATCCCTTCTCGGTAATCACACAGCCACCACTTTAGTGCAGACCCTTATGACTTCTGGCCTAGAATCTTGAAATGGTCTCCTCATTGGCCTCCTTGCCTCAGATCTCTCCCCTTTCCATCCATTTTCCACACTGATGTTGATGTGATTCTCCTTAAGCTGATACCAGGTCACTTTTTTTCTGAATAAATTCCAGTGGTTCTCTATTGCCTCTAAGATAAAATATAAACTCTTCTGTTTAGCTTTTTACAGCTTTACACAGGAGCAGCTATGTGGTGCGGTGGATAGAGCACTAGCCATGAAATCAGGAGGACCTGAGTTCAAATCCGGTCTCAGACCAAACACTTGACACTTACTAGCTATGTGACCCTGAGCAAGTCACTTAACTCCAACTACCTTAAAAAAAAAAAAAAGTTCTCCACAGTTGGGCCTCACCCTTCTTCTCAACCTACCTATATATTACCCACCCTCCCTCACTCTGAGAACCAGGCAAACTGGCCTTCTTTCTATCCTTTGTATATGACATTCCATCTTTCATTTCCTCACCTTCATGATAGAAGCCTCTCAAGACTGGAAGACAAGCCCTCCTTACCTCTTTCTCATAGAATCCTTCTCTTTCTTTAAGATGTAGCTAAAGTAGGGTAGCTAGGTGGAGCGGTGGATAGAGCACTAGCCCTGGAGTCAGGAAGACCTGAGATCAAATCCAGCCTCAGACACTTGACACTTACTAGCTGTGTGACCATGGGCAAGTCACTTAACCCCAATTACCTCACCAAAAAAAAAAAAAGACATAGCCAAAACACCATTTTCTACATGAAGCCTTTCCTGATTCCCACCTGCTAGTTCTCTCCTTTCTCTCCTTCTATTTAAATAATTTATATTTATTCTGTATGTGCACATATATGTATAGTGTATGTATATTCACATGTACTTATTGTTTCCCCACCTTTAATAATAATAACAATAAAAACTAGCATTTATATAGTGCCTTCTATGTGCCAAGCTCTATGCTAAGTGCTTTACAAATATTATCTCATTTGATCCTTGTAACAACCCTGGGAGGTGCATGCTATTATTATCTCTATTTTATATTTGAGCAAAATGAGGTAAACAGAGTGACTTGCCCAGGGTCACACAACTAGTAAGTATCTGAGACTGGATTTGAACTTGGATCTTCCTGACTTTAGGCTTAGAGCTCTATCCACTCCCAAGCTTATCCAGATGCCTTAGAATGTGAAATCTTCAAAGGTAGTGATTGTTTCAGTTTTTGTTTTTTTTTTGCAGCCACTTAATGAAAGCTTGTTGGTTGATCTAGTTCTCTTTATTCTAGGTCTTTACCTCCCTCCATCTTCCCCTTCTCATGCAGAGGAATGCTTATTCTCAGTTTCTCTGTGATACCGGCTGTTTGTTAAATATGATATTTTGGAGACATTTCTGAGCCTTCAAAATATTGGAAGCTTTTGTTCCACCATTTCCTTTTTCATGTTCTGAGTTAATTATTTTGTATCTCCTACAGTGATATATATTTTTAATACTTAGGCATAGAGAATAGATGGAGCACACCTTGAAAGTAAGGCAGCTAGGTAGCACAGTGGATAGAGCACCAGGCCTGAAGTCAGGAAGACTCATCTTCCTGAGTCAAAATCTTGCCTCAGATACTTGCTAGCTGTTTGACCTTGGTTCTTGGTTCTCAGAGTGAGGGAGGGTGGGTAATATACAGGTAGGTTGAGAAGAAGGTTGAGGCCCAACTGTGGAGAACTTTTTTTTTTTTAAGGTAGTTGGAGTTAAGTGACTTGCTCAGGGTCACACAGCTAGTAAGTGTCAAGTGTTTGGTCTGAGACCGGATTTGAACTCAGGTCCTCCTGATTTCATGGCTAGTGCTCTATCCACCGCACCACATAGCTGCTCCTGTGAAAATCACTTAACTCTTTTTGCCTCAGTTTCCTCATCTGTAAAATGAGCTGGAGAAGGATGGCAAAAGACTCTAGTAGCTTTGCCAACCCCAAATGGGGTCATGAAGAGTCAGACATGACTGAACTACAGAGAAAGAAAACCTTGAAATTAGCAAGATCAGTATTAAAATTGTACCCCTGAAACTGACTTTGTGACTATGGGAAATTCACTCACTCTTCCTGTGTCCAAGCAACTTTCTATAGACAAATTGTTGATCTACCCCAGTAGAAGGAATTCCCATACCAGATTTCCCTTTACCAATGAAATCACAGGTCCCAATGAATCAATCAACAAAAACTAATAATAACTCACATCTACACAAAGTTTTGTGGTTATAGAATGTTTTATATGTGCTGTCTCACTTGATCTCATTTCATTCTACCTCTACCTCAGTAGGTAGTCAATAAATATTTGTTAATGGATGGTAGTTGAACCTACCATTGTGTGGCTCAATCAATAGATCAGAGAAAAACTTTTCTTGGCTTGGCTCTGCAATGGAAACCAAGAGTTAATATCCCTTTAAAAAATACACATCAATGCAATTTGGATTAAAGTACACCTGCCCCTTAACCCTGAACAGCATGGATCCTAACCAGGAAGGCTAGATAAGGTGGTTGAAAGGTGGTATTACCTTTGCTCCCTCATTCAAATAGAAGGTCCTGTCTTTAACCAAGGTGTTTCTGCTCGCTTACTTTGTGCAGAGGAATTCTTGAATACCTGCAGCTGTCCTTCCCATTATCAGCCAAAGATGCTGTTTAATATGAAGACCTTGCTGAGGAGTGCAGCCTTCCGACAAGGAAGCCAGCTGGCAGTTCGAAATTTTCAGTAAGTGTTCGATATGGACCTTTTCTTATCTTGGAAATGTGAACAGTTCTGGTAATGACAGAAATGATATTCTGCTCACAACACAGTAAGAAAATTGCCTCCTCTAGGGGTGAGGGTTGGGTCATCTTTTTTTGAGAGGGTCATAGCCAATTTAATCTGACCAGTATTTGAGTTGCCCTTTCTTTTCTTGTTTCCACACTGATTACATTTCATTTTGGGCCTACTGTGGCAGATACCATTGTATAATTTTCATTTTTGCCATAGCTTTGGAGCTAGAACAGATCTTAGAAGTTATCTGATCCAGTCCTTTCATTTTACAAATGAGGAAACTGAAGTCCAGAAAAAAATTGATAACTTGCCCATTCCATTCCAGCTATACCCAGACCAGTTCATTCTATTCAGAGCCCTTAAATTCTAAACAATCACCTCTCTTGAGAAAATTAGAGGAGCTAACTTATTTCATCTAATATCTGAGAGGTAACATGGCATTGTGGATAGAGGGCAAGTTTCACAAGGACACATGAGTTTGTGCCCTGTTTCGGACATCTATTTGCTTTGGAATCTTGAGTAAGTCATTTAACCTCTGAATCAATCAATCTACTAATCAATAAACATTTATTAAGTACCTACTATCTGCCAAGACAGTTCTAATATGCACCTGTGGAGGGAGTTTCCACACTGGGCAATTCACCTACAGGGATGAAATCACTGGTCCAGACCGGAGAGAAAAATCAGTTAATATTTGCTGAATAAAAGGCATAGAAAGAACTAACTGACAATATACCTTTCTCAACCAACTGTAATGACTTCGTATTATCTCTAAGGAAAAATATAAAGTTTTCTGTGTAGCTTTTGAAGTCATACACAACCTGGACTCTACCTATCTTTCCAGCCTCACTGGAATCACTTCCACTCTCACTCTCTGTGATCTAGCCAAAATAGCTTTCTCTCTGTTCCTCACACATGATACTCTGCCTGCCATATCTGTCCATCTCCCATGCATAGAACACATCCCTCTCTTACTTTCACCTCCTAGAGTCTTTCTCTTTCTTTAAGATGCTGCTCAATGTCAGTTTCACACCAGCACAATACATGGCTTATTGCCCAGGCATAATCAGTGACCTAATAATTTTAATAGAGCATAGTTATATCACATGTATATCCTACATTATAAATTATATTTCAAAACATAATATATGTAAATATAATTTTTTAATCTCAAAAAAATGCTGCTTAAGTACCATGTTTTATATGAAGCCTTTCCTGATTTCCCAAACTGCTAGTACCTTCCCTCTCAAACTTTATACCTCCCAAATACCAACACCTTGTATTTAACTACATTGAGTAGATATGTATTTATTAATTTTATTTTCATTCTATACATATTTTATATTCACTTCATATCTCCCCTATTAGAATGGAAAGTTCATTGGGAGAAGGATTTTTTTCATTTTTTGAAGTCTGTGCTTGGCATCTAGTAGGTTCTCAATTGATACTTGTTGATTGATTGATCTCACTCTAGGGATGCTGATGTCCATTTAATATTTGGACAGACTTAAAATTCAACACTAAAGGACTTAGAGATACATATTTTAAAAGGTCACATGAAGAAAACTTTCTGTCTAATGGGAATAATATCATTTGTTTTCCATTTACCTTTGAAAAGTCACTCCCTAGAACTTTAGGGCCTGCATCCATTTATATTCTCTACAAAATAGCTATTTCTTGATTCTGGATATCAAGCTAGCAATTGGAAGAAAGATGCTTTAAAGCAAGGGTAGAAGTCATTTTGAGGAAACAACCATAGTGGTCACATGTTCTCAGAGAGATATATTTGTTGTAGTTCAAACTGAGTGTCTCTTTCTTTTTTTCATTATAAACATAATTGTTCCAGTAGATATTTGATCTCATCAATGTGAGCATGATCTTTAACAACGCCGATACCAAGCCACGCATGCTTTATCCTGTTCGTTTTGTTCCGATCCTCCTATAAGATCACAGGTCCACCCCCAAATTTTGGGGACATTCTTAATAACCATAAACCAATTAAAAAAACAGTAGCAACAAGGATTAAAATCATGTACACAAACCATAAACCCCAAACTATTTACAGTATGCCTATTAAATTCTATTCAACAAGCAGGCATTAAGAACCTATTCACTGGGAGGGGTTTGGGGAATTTAAGAGGTTGGAAGGGCGTACAAAGTCAAAAAAAATTAAAAATTCTCTGTCCTCAAGGAGCTTATATTTTATTGGGGGATGTACACAGATAAATAAATTTAGAAGTACATACAAATTAAATACAGACTAATTTCTGAGTGCTGAGGCATGTGGATAGCACTAGGCGTAGGGATCAGAAAAGGTCTCTTGCAGGAAGGAGATGGGAACCGAGGTGCACTTTGAAGGGAGCCAGGATTTAAAGAGGGGAGATTAAGGAGGGAGGAATTCTAGGCATGGGGGGATGAACTGTGCAAAAGCAAATAGGCAGGAGATAGAATTTCAGGAACCACCAATAAGCCAGTTCTGCTGGAACATAGAGTACATGTGGGTGAGTCATTGGAAATCAGCTGGAAAGATAGGCAGGAACATCAGTTTGGCAACTGCATAAGGGATGAATTGGAGAGGGGAGACACTGGAAACAGGGAGACCAATTAGAAGGCTACTGTCAGGGTCCAGGAGAGAAATGATGGGAGTTGGAACTTTGGTGGCAGATTATTAGAGAGAAAGGGACAAATGTCAGAAGTGTGGAGGCAGTAGCAAAAGGGCTCAGCAAAATATAGTGCTGTTATTTTGTTAAAGTTCATGTGCATAAATTTTAATGATAGAAATAACATCTTATTTATTCAGTGACACCTTCTGATTTTTTTTTTTTGTCTGCATCCATAGCAGATTTTAAAACAAAGTTTCTGTGGTGAACTTAGGGAGGCAGTGTGGTGTCGCTGAAAGAACACTGGGCTGAAAAATCTGTAGACCTAGAATCTAGATTGAGCTCTATAACTGATTCACCATGTGACCTTGGAACCCCTCTAGAACTCAGTTTCCTCACTGATAAAATGAGGGGGCACAGACTGGAGGATCTCTGAGGTATGGCTTAGATATCTTCAAGCACCCATCAAGAAGTCCAATAGGGTGTGCTGCCATTCCCTCCTCATTGCTCCCTCTACACACACACACACACACACACACACACACACACACACACACACACACCAAGCCCAGCTACTGGATGAGTTCCAGCTAAATAAAGTAAGAGCAGTTGAGTTTCCATGAGGTCTCTGACCTTTGACATTCCCCTCATGAAAGGAAAGCTGTTTGACTCTTGTTTGTTAAGTGTTACATTTTAACTTCGTTTATAGTCTTTAGCAAAGTGGATTTTGGCAGGAGGTTGGGAGGGTATGTTAACTTTTATTTTGATATGTCCTGTACCTTGAAACAATAGTACTTAAAAAATGTTTTTTAATTCTGAACTTGACAAACACCAAAAAACTTAAACATTTCTGTATATAAAAGTTACAAAGAATAATTTTTAAAGAGTTATAGGAAAGAAAAACAAATTTAATTATGTACAGCTTTGTTTTTTCAAGTATTTACCAAATTCAGCATGTTAGTTCCAAAAGCATCCTGCTTTCCCATTTCTCTCCAAACTGCCTTCTGTTCTCTTCCGTGAATTAAACAACAAAAAAATCATTGATACCATTTTTCTTTCTTTCTTTTCTTTTCTTTTTTCTTTCTCAAAATTCAGTTTCTTTCTCCCTTTCCAAAATTCAATTTTGATCTTCCTCCCTCCCTCTTTCCCTCTTTGCCCCTTTTCTTCCTTCCTTCCTGCCTTTCTGCCTTCCTTTCTTCCTTCTTTCCTTCCTTCCTTCCTTTCCTCCCTCCTCACTTTCCCTCTCTCTCTCTCCCTCTCCCTCCCTCCCTCCCTCTCTCTCCTATCCCTACCCCACCCTCACTTTCTCCCACCCACCTTTTTTTAACCCTCCCTTGTAACAAGTTACACAAAACAGATTCATATATCAGCTATATCTAAAAATATGTGTCTCATTCTAGACCTCTAGCCCATTCCCTCTCTATCAAGAGGTGGAAAACATTCTTTGTTCATTGAATTAATCAGAATTCTTAAGTTTTGCACAGTAGTTTTTCTTTGCAATGTTGTGATCGCTATATAAATTGTTCTTCTGGTTCTACTCACTTCACTCTGTCTCAGTTCATATACATTTCTTCCCACTTTCTTTGAATCTGTCTCTTTCATCACTTCAAACAGATCAGTAAGCACTTCTTACTTTCAGTTTCTATATGTTCTGCCATTTTCCAACTTATGGACATCCCTTTAGTTTTCAGTTCCTTGCTATATCAAAAAAAATACTGCTATTAATATTTTAGTGTGTATATATACATATATGTTTTTTATTTCATTTAAAATATTCTCTTTTGAGTATGCCTAGTAGTGCTATCACAGGATTGAAGAATGTGGAGGTAGTAGCAAATTAATTTCCAGAATGTTAGACCAATTTATAATTCCACCAACAGTACACTAGTGTGTCCCTCCTTTTATATCCCCTGTCACAATTGTCATTTTCCTTTTTTATCATTTTTTGTAAATCTCAGGGGCATGAGCTAGAACCTCAGAGTGTTTTGATTTGTATTTCTCTTATGATTTAGAGCATTTTAAATGATTATGATAGCTTGCTTTTCTCTTTTTTTTGAGAACTGCTTATATCCTTTGACTCAAAATTGTCCATTTTATCTCCTGTGATCATCTCTATCCCTTATTTGATCAAGAAATTTACCCCCATCCATAATTGTGAAAGGTATCTCCTTTTATTGTTTTCTAACTTGTTCGTGATATGGCCTTTAATAAGCCATACATTCCTTTGGAGTTTATTCTGGTATATGATGTGAGATGCTGGTCTAAATCTTAATTTCTGCCATATTGATTTCAAGGTTCCCCAGCAATTTTTGTCGGATAGTGAGTAGTTGGAATCTCTGGGTTTATCAAATT